CTGGGGAGAACGTACAAGTTAAAGGAAGCTGCATAGTAACTTTACAGTTCATAGCACAGCTGCTGATCGTGGAAAATGATATACAGCCTATTCTAGGAATCAGTGCATGTGAAAAGCTCAATTTGGTGAAAAGAGTGTATGTATGACATCACAGACTGAAAATGACCAAGAATCGCTACTGGCTGAGTACGAGGACGTGTTTGAGGGTCTTAGATGTTTACCTGGAGAACACAAAATATGTACTGATGACAACATTACTCCAGTTGTGCATGCGTGCAGAAAAGTTCCATTTGCACTGAGGAAAAAGCTCAAGGAGGAACTCGGACGCATGGAAAAGATGGACGTCATCACAAAAATGGATGAACCTACAGATTGGGTAAGCTCACTGGTTATTGTGGTGAAAAAGAACGGCGATCTCAGGATATGTCTAGATCTCAACAAAGCTATCAAGCGAGAGCATTTCAAGTTTTCAACCAGAGAAGAGATAATGTCGCAGTTTGCTGGAGCAAAGTGGTTCAGTAAGCTTGAGGCCTCATCAGGATTCTGGCAAATGAAGCTAGATGATGCAAGCTCAAGGCTATGCACATTCAACACACCTGAGGGCAGGTAGAGATTTATTCATCTACCATATGGGATTCTCTCAGCACCAGAGGTCTACCACAAGACAATTCACATGATCTTCGAGCACATTCCAGGAGTAGAGACCATGATGGACGACATCATTGTCTGGGGGTCCACAAAAGAAGAACACGACATGAGAGTGAGACAAGTGCTGGACCTGACACGAAAAGTCAACCTGTAACTAAACAAGGACAAATGCGAGTTTGGTGTGAAAACACTTACCTTCGTGGGAGAAGTACTTTCAGAGGATGGAGTCACATCAGCCATCAACAACATGGAGCGCCTGAAGAACAAGGATGACGTGAGACGCTTCATGGGCACGATCACCTACCTTGCAAAGTTCACACCTCAACTGTCAGCACAGTCTGCTCCACTCAGATGTCTTCTGGAACAGAAAAACGAATGGGAATGGTCCCATGAGCAGGAAAACTGCTTCAAAAATCTAAAGAAGACAATCACAGAAGAGCCAGTGCTCAGGTTCTATGATCCAGAGAAAAGCACATGGATTTCTGCAGATGTGTCACAGTTTGGCCTGGGAGCAGTTCTTCTGCAACAGCATGACGACACATGGCAACCCGTCGCTTATGCGTCCAGAGCCTTGACAGGCGCAGAAACAAGGTATGCACAAATAGAGAAAGAACTACTGGCGAGCACATACGTGTGTGAAAGGTTTCACCAATAAGTCTACGGACAAGCCTTTGAAGTAGAAACCGACCACAAACCATTGGTGTCAATCATGTCTAAGCCACTGAATTATTGTCCAATGAGAATCCAGAGAATGTTGATCAGACTACAAAAGTATGATGTGAACACAGAAAAACATTGAGATTCAGGCCTACGTCGACATGATCGTAGCATCACTTCCTGTGTCTTTTGAGAGAATGGCACAGATCAAAAGAGAGACCGCAGCTGACCAAACAATGACAGAGTTGAAAGAAACAATACTGATAGGATGGGCTGCACAGAAAAACAACTGTCCAAGGAGAATACAGGATTACTGGATGTGCAGAACAGTGCTCACTGTTGTGGATGACATAGGCAACAAGATTGTCATTCCCATGACAATACGCAAAGAAATGCTACAGAAAATACACGAGGGCCACTTGGGTGAGGAAAAATGCAAACAACGAGCACGAGAAGTAATGTACTGGCCAAGAATGAACCAGGAAATCAGCCAGACCACTGCTTCATGTGAATTGTGTTTGACCTACAGGCCAAAGCAGCAAGCAGAGCCGCTAATGCCTCATCCAGTACCCAACCGATCCTACTACAAAGTTGGAGTTGACCTTTTTGACTGCAATGGCAAAAGTCACATTGTTGTTACAGACTACTACTCAAACTACCCTGAAGTAGCAACACTGCCAACTACCTCCAGCAAAGCTGTAATCACCTACCTGAAATCAGTCTTCGCAAGACATGGGGATGCGTCTGAACTGTACTCGGACAATGGCCCGCAGTTCTCAAGTTCTGAATTCCGATCGTTCGCTAACGACTGGGGATTCTGACACATCAACTCCTGCCCCAACTACCCAAAGTCCAAAGGCTTAGCAGAAAGTTCAGTCAAAATTGTCACAGGTCTGATGAAAAAGGCACATGATGGAAAGGAGGGCTTCCTAAAAGGTCTGATCTACCGCAGCGCCCCACTGCAGAATGGACATTTACCTGCACAAATGTTGATGGGACGTTGCATCAGAACCAACCTACCCATCCATGACGACTTGCTAACACCCAGAGGTGCTCACAACGTCAAACTCGCAAAGGAAAAACAGAAAGACAAACAAAAACAGCGACACGACAAAAGTGCAAGACACTTACCTGAACTGAAACCTGGAGATCATGTACGACTCCGAGACATCACTACAGGAACCTGGATGCAGCAAGGGTGCGTGCAGAGAGAAGTTGCACCATGATCCTATGAGATCCAAACGGAGCATGGATCACAACTGAGACGAAACAGAGTGGATCTAAGGCTTCAACCATTCACTCAAGGGACTGAGGATCATCAGGAGGATACTGCTGAAGCGTCAAATGCCTTTACCAATGGACAATTCAGTCAGAACACCCTGACTGACAATGAACGCTGTCCAACTGCTTCAGGAAGCACTTCAGCAGAAAGACCAAAAAGGACTGTCAGAGCCCCTGAACGGCATATTGAGAATTGTGGCTGGATTGGATGTTTTTGTTTATGTGAAAATAAATGGAGCCACAATAGAGTATTGTTGGACAGAGACTGCATTTAGTTGAGAGAAAGAAAAGGGAAAGAAATGTGTGTTATTGAAAATTGCATTTTATGCAGGTTGACTAAACAAATGTGATGTGACATGTTTAGTTACAGAGAAAAATTAGTTTTATTTTAAAGGAAGGAAGATGTGTTGTTATGTGTTAATAACATGGCTATGTGAGGGGGGAAGTTGACGTATGCATTGCATGGCTACACAAGGAGATTGTTAGCTGAAGTATCAGTTTATTAAAAGTAGTTCAACCTACGCCCCGGTTTGTCATTATTTAAAGGAACAAACATAACAGTATGTATCACTAACAGTGAGGTTTCACAGTGAAAGTCATGCAGTTTCATTAAAAAAGACTGCCATTTCACCCTCAGGCACAAACTTGTTTGTTTGTTCTTGTTCACCATTGAGCTTAGTACAATTAGGGAGCGTTTCCATGGATAAGAGCCCTTGGCTCTGAGGCCAAACAGTGTTATTGAAGGCATAGACAGGGGATCATTAGTGTGTGGGACAGTCTCAGTTTGGCAATTACCTATGTACAAAGTTTAAACACCCTGGCTACTGAGAGGGCTCAGGGCTCTCCTCTCTCTCTCATCACCCTATTGACTCCCACACACACACACACACACACACTCCGCCAGCCAGGCTGAGGCACCGCTCCAAATGTATGAGTCAACATCTCTCTGGCTTTGTCTCAAATGGCTCCCCACTCCCTTTATAGTGCACTACTTTTGACCAGGGCCCATAGGCCTCTGGTCAAAAGTAGTACACTATATAGGAAATAGGGTGACATTTAGTACGCACACTCTGTTAAGTTGGGGTGAAGAAAAGGCCATTGGGGATGCGGGGACTTTTAACATTGCTAAAAGGATACCCTTTGCAGTGGGTGAATGTGCAAATGAAAGATAGTGGTGCTGTCGTTCTCTAGAGCCAGTGAATTGCTTTCACTGTAGCTTATAACATGATGGCATACATTCTAAACTACAAAAGGCATGTAGTACACGCAAAGGAAAAATAGGTGCTATCTTGAACCTTAAAGGGTTCTTTGGCGGTCCCCATAGGATAACCCTTTTTGGTTGCTGGTTGAACCCTTTTGGTTCCAGGTAGAATCCTTTTGGGTTCCATTTAGAACCCTTTCTATAGAGGGTTCTACATGGAACCCAAAAATGTTATCCAAAAAGGGTTATCCTATGGGGACAGCCGAATAACCATTTTGGGACCCTTTTTTCTAAGAGTGTACAAACTATGATCGAAATGTGGTCAGTGGGTAAACTAACTGTTTCTGCAAACATGGCATGACAACGACTGTTGGAGTTCATTCTGTTTCAAGTGGGTTGAGTTCTCCGAAGGACAATATTCTTTACGTGAGCTAAATATTTACCTTTTGCTACAGACATACCTTTTTCTCTTTTATTCTACCTTGGACTTACTCTGAAAGTCCCATGGAGATACAGTAACTTTTTTTCCAATAGGAGACCTGCCCATGACATTAGGTAGCAGTTGGATATCAATAGGTAGAGAGGGGCAAATGGAAACATACCCAGGTTGATGTGGCTTGATTGAGATTTTCCAATTCAATTACTCTGTTTCCAGCATGGCCCCCAAGGTTGAGTAGGCTAAGCATTGTTGGTTAGGAACACTGCTAGATCATATCATAGTTGTCAGTTTGCAAGTGGAGTTTCAGTGTATTTCCCAAAAAAAGGTGCTATCTAGAACCTAAAAGGGTTCTTCGGCTGTCCCCATAGGAGAACCCTTTGAAGAACCCGTTTTGGTTCCAGATATAACCTTTTTGGGTTCAATGTAGAACCCTTTCCACAGGGGTTCTACCTCGAACCAAAAAACTTTATCCCATGGGGACAGCAGAATAACTCTTTTGGAACCCTTTTTTGTAAGAGTGTGCAAACATCCTACTGTGACCATGGGTTGATCTTTTAAATGTTCAGTCAAATAAACCTTGTCTTTTTTCAAGGCTTATAACTTGATATTAACAGTAATCTTGCCACCATGTTGTTACAATGGCTATATGATTGGTTTTCAAATGCATTTAAAATCTCTCTTTCTCCCTCCCTCCATCCCTCCCCTTTGTCTCTCTTTCTCTCACCCCCCTCCCTCCCTCTCTCCATTTTCTCCCTCCCCCCTCTCTCCCTCCAGCCTTCGCCTTGTGAGTGGTGTCGCTGTGAACCAAATAACGAGGTGCACTGTGTGGTGTCTGACTGTGCCATCCCAGAGTGTGTCAACCCAGTCTACGAGCCAGAACAGTGCTGTCCCATCTGTAAAAACGGTAAGGCGCTTTCTGTCGTGTGTTTCTGACACACACACACACACGTTTTACTGAAATGCTTTATGTATATCAACCTTACGATTGCATTGCTGGTTGTTGTGCACATGTAGTCTGGTAAACCAGACCATTGTTTCACAGAACAGAATGATGAACATAGCTATTTGTCTGGTTGACCAGGCTAGTGTGTTTGTATATTTCTTGCTGATCTTGTGTTTTTATTGTGAGCGCGCTGGAGAGTTACATTTCTAAAGGATTCATTACACATTCATTACGCAAATAACCTTGAAACATGTAACTGTTTGAACCTCAACCCACACACACACACTACAAAATAATAACACTTTTATCACATCGAAACCAACCAAAAGATGATCTCTTCCTCTACGTCTATCTTTTCATGATCAGAGTCTTCAGTCTCTTTAATCGAGGACGTCCGTCTTTTATGTTTTACTGTGTATTAAATAATTTATTTGGGGGGTTGCCCGGGCGCTAATGAGGACAATACTAACTGCTTTAATTAAATACAACCCACTAAGCAGAATTAACACTGCAAATGTGTATGAGTCTCAGGACCCTGTATTTGTGTAAAACTAGGCCCTCAAAACAAGGCCTAATGAAATATGTATGATATATAGTTACGTTTGATACCGGAGCTCCAAGGCATGTCGAATTCGCTAAGCAGTGTACTTCGAAGCGGTGTGCCGATGCCTGTATCACTTTATCAGAAGCACGTGATCAATGACGTCTGAAGCTTTGATTGGTTTGGTAGAAGACGAAAAGGCTACGCTGCGTACGTGCTACGGGGTGTGGGATGTCATCTATAAAATTGGCTGATCTAAATTATTTTGACCAGCAGGTGCCACTAATGTACACTGTGTTGATCAAAGCCTCGAGTAATGAACCTATTTGCTATTTTACAGTTAGCATCCCAAATGGCACCCTATTCCCTGGTGGACTACTTTCGACCACACTGTAAACGTTTCCTGTGAAATTTACAGTAACTTACTGACAGCTATTGGCCAGTAAGTTACTGTAATTTATTTTACAGTACAGCTAATGTAATCCATTTTACGTTAATCCATTTTACAGTACCAAAATGGTATATTACTAGAAGTATCCATTGCACGTTTTCATTTTTTCCATTTACATTTTGGTCATTTAGCGGGCACTCTTGTCCTTAGCAACTTACAGTCAGTGCATTCAACCAAGGTTGATAAAAAAAAAACATATCACAGTCATAGCAAGTAAAACGTTTCTGTAACCGATACATTGGTCTTCAAAATAATTTTAATTACAACAAGATATCTTATGATATAGCTCTGACCATCTCTGGATAGTGCCAATACAATACTGAGATATTCAAGATAACTTAATGCCAGAGCAATGAAACACAGTAAAACACAGTAAAAGTGACTATTGAACCGTAAGAAAATTATTTCTACAGTATTTTACTGTAATTACAAGGGATTAGACCAAGCAGGTTGTCTGTAGGCATTTACATATTACAGCATATTAATAAATACTAGGTGTTTATATCAGTTACACTTTAGGCCTTAAAAAAGGCTTCTAAAGTGACAGTGACTACAGGGTAAAACAGATAAAAAGAACATGGCTAACCACTCATTCATTAAAGGTCCATTTATTTGGTTATTACAAAATTCAATACATGTTAAAATTTCTAATCAAATTTAGTTAAACTCCAAAAATAATAAACAACTCAAACAAAAAAGTATCAATCCAACGTATGTCAAATCAAATCAAAAGAAAAACAAACAATCATCAGTCCATCAATTTGTCAGTCAGTCATGGTTGGTCTGGTGGAGTGGTTGACAGTGTGTTTGTGTTGTTGTGTTGGGTGAGGGGAAGTGTCTGAGCTGGAAGTTGCTGGATGAAGGTGTCGGTTATGGTTGGTCAGTGTTGAGGCTGGGACAGGGAAAACCTGGGCAGGTTGGAAATCGTGCTGGTACCAGGGCTGGAAAACCAGGGGTTGGTGCTGGGTCTGTGAGAGAACAGGAACCAGGAACTGGACTCTGTAAAGGGGAGGAAAGACAATCTTTAAAGGTTTGATACTTGCTGCCACTAAGGGAACCACTACTACGTTTCACTTAAATTAAATCAATCACTTAAATTGGTACAGCACTCTCACTAACGGGTAGAACAAATATAGCCTCTTACAAAACACGCCTCAAAATATGTTAATGTCAGACTCTTTTCCCGCCCACAACATTTTCCCACAATGCACCATCATTAATACTGTAAAACACATTTAAGGTATTTTACTATTTTACTGTGCATTCTACAGTGTTTTACTGTTGAAATTACAGTGTGCTGTAAAATAAATGTACAGTATTTTACTGTGCATCCTACGGTAATCTACTATATTCAGTTTACACAGTATTGTACTGTTGATTACAGTAAGTTACTAATAAAATTACAAAAACGGCTAACATTGTAGGGCCCACCGTGTGCCATATGGGACACACACATAGCCATGGAGAATAATCTTTAACATGCATCAGCAGACACACATACTTTGACTAAAGTACTCTGACTTGCAGAGGGCTTCATCAGGCTTTCTTCAAGGTTTCCTTAGGCAAATTAAGCTGAGAATCCCTAAGCACTATGCAAATGTAGCTACGTTTAGCCTTGAACAACCTAGCTCTATCCTAAAGGGATATAAATTAACTTATATGAATTTGATTTAAATATGAATTTACTTTATGTAAGATACATTTAAATTATTCACAAGTAAATGTAGCTTACATAAAGTTGTTTTACACTTTTGCAGGAAAAATACACATGGGAACTAGTCTTATTAATCTGACCTGTCGGTCACTGTATTCCTGATTGACAGTCATGTGACAACATAGAGACACAGGTAACATGTATCCCTGTAAACAACCACACTTGGCAGGGCAGCTCGATGCCCCATTCTCTCATCATCCTCTGCCCGGTTTGTCTATGACTAGTGCCAGCTGTACTGAGGGTGGGTAGTGGATCAATGAGAATTAGGACTTGGCATCAGGCCGCTCACGATATCTCCATTGAGGTAGAGGTTGATCGATGGGCTTTTATCATGTCTTAGTAGACCACGAGATGAGAATCGGCCTGGGCATGGAAGAGAGGAGTATGGGTACAGTGGGGGAAAAAAGTATTTAGTCAGCCACCAATTGTGCAAGTTCTCCCACTTAAAAAGATGAGAGAGGCCTGTAATTTTCATCATAGGTACACGTCAACTTTGACAGACAAATTGAGAAAAAAAATCAAAAAAATCACATTGTAGGATTTTTAATGAATTTATTTGCAAATGATGGTGGAAAATAAGTATTTGGTCAATAACAAAAGTTTCTCAATACTTTGTTATATCCCCTTTGTTGGCAATGACACAGGTCAAACGTTTTCTGTAAGTCTTCACAAGGTTTTCACACACTGTTGCTGGTATTTTGGCCCATTCCACCATGCAGATCTCCTCTAGAGCAGTGATGTTTTGGGGCTGTCGCTGGGCAACACAGACTTTCAACTCCCTCCAAAGATTTTCTATGGGGTTGAGATCTGAAGACTGGCTAGGCCACTCCAGGACCTTGAAATGCTTCTTACGAAGCCACTCCTTCGTTGCCCGGGCGGTGTGTTTGGGATCATTGTCATGCTGAAAGACCCAGCCACGTTTCATCTTCAATGCCCTTGCTGATGGAAGGAGGTTTTCACTCAAAATCTCACGATACATGGCCCCATTCATTCTTTCCTTTACACGGATCAGTCGTCCTGGTCCCTTTGCAGAAAAACAGCCCCAAAGCATGATGTTTCCACCCCCATGCTTCACAGTAGGTATGGTGTTCTTTGGATGCAACTCAGCATTCTTTGTCCTCCAAACACGACGAGTTGAGTTTTTACCAAAAAGTTCTATTTTGGTTTCATCTGACCATATGACATTCTCCCAATCCTCTTCTGGATCATTCAAATGCACTCTAGCAAACTTCAGACGGGCCTGGACATGTACTGGCTTAAGCAGGGGGACACGTCTGGCACTGCAGGATTTGAGTCCCTGGCGGCGTAGTGTGTTACTGATGGTAGGCTTTGTTACTTTGGTCCCAGCTCTCTGCAGGTCATTCACTAGGTCCCCCCGTGTGGTTCTGGGATTTTTGCTCACCGTTCTTGTGATCATTTTGACTCCATGGGGTGAGATCTTGCGTGGAGCCCCAGATCGAGGAAGATTATCAGTGGTCTTGTATGTCTTCTATTTCCTAATAATTGCTCCCACAGTTGATTTCTTCAAACCAAGCTGCTTACCTATTGCAGATTCAGTCTTCCCAGCCTGGTGCAGGTCTACAATTTTGTTTCTGGTGTCATTTGACAGCTCTTTGGTCTTGGCCATAGTGGAGTTTGGAGTGTGACTGTTTGAGGTTGTGGACAGGTGTCTTTTATACTGATAACAAGTTCAAACAGGTGCCATTAATACAGGTAACGAGTGGAGGACAGAGGAGCCTCTTAAAGAGCCAGAAATCTTGCTTGTTTGTAGGTGACCAAATACTTATTTTCCACCATAATTTGCTAATAAATTCATAAAAAATCCTACAATGTGATTTTCTGGAGAAAAAAAATCTCAATTTGTCTGTCATAGTTGACGTGTACCTATGATGAAAATTACAGGCCTCTCTCATCTTTTTTAGTGGGAGAACTTGCACAATTGGTGGCTGACTAAATACTTTTTCCCCCCACTGTAGCCTAAGGTGCTGGAAGGAGGTGGTGCTAGGCTAGATAGTGTTTGATGTATTATACAGTCTATTTGATGCCATTAGATTTGTTTGTTCCAGCAGACACTGGTTTCGATTTGGTTCAGTGTAGTCTTGCACTGCTACACTTCCAAGTCTTGTGTGTTCACTCCGCTATTACTCAAGAAAACCGGAAACCGAGGTTCGTTCCAGAGCAGCTGAAGGGTGTTTCCAAATGCCTGGCTCTCTGTTAAAACACTAAACTCCTGGACAAGAAAATCATGCCGTCTGGTTTGCTTAGTATAAATCTAATCAAATGTTATTTGTCACATGCTTCATAAACAACAGGTGTAGACTAACAGTGAAATGCTTTCTTATAGGCCAATCCCAATAATCCAGAGAGGAACATTTTTAAATAACCAAGCGGTGATACAGCCAGTCAAGATGCTCTCAATGGTGCAGCTGTAGAACGTTTTGAGGATCTGAGGGCCCATGCCAAATCTTTTCAGCCTCCTGAGGGGGAAGAGGCGTTGTCGTGCCCTTTTCACGACTGTGTTGATGTGTGTGGAACATGATAGTTCCTTAGTGATGTGGACACAGATGAACTTGAAGCTCTCAACCTGTTCCACAACAGCCCCGTCGATGTGGATTGGGGCGTGCTCGGCCCCCTGTTTCCTGTAGTCCATTATCAGCTCCTTTGTCTTGCTGACGTTGAGGGAGAGGTTGTTGTCCTGGCACCACACTGCCAGGTCTCTGACCTCCTCCCTGTAGGCCACAGGTGTCAAACTCATTCCACGGAGGGCCAAGTGTCTGCGGGTTTTTGCTCATCCTTTGTACTTAATTGATGAATTAAGGTCACAAATTAGTAAGGAACTCCCCTCACCTGGTTGTCTAAGGGCTTAATTGAAAGAGAAAACCAAAAACATGCAGACACTAGGCCTCCATGGAATGAGTTTGACAGCCCTGCTGTAGGCTGTCTAATCGTCGTCGGTGATCAGTCCTACCACTGTCGTGTCATTAGCAAACTTAATGATCGTGTTGGAGACGTGTATGGCCGTGCAGTCGTGGGTGAACAGGGAGTACAGGAGGGGACTAAGCACGCACCACTGAGGGGACCCTATGTTGAAGGTCAGCGTGGCGGAGGTGTTGTTGCCTACCTTCACCACCTGGGGGCGGACTGTCACGAAGTCCAGGACCAGTTACATAGGGAGGTGTTTAATCCCAGGGTCCTTAGATTAGTGATGATCTTGGAGGGCACAATGGTATTGAACGCTGAGTTATAGTCAATGAACAGCATTCTCACATAGGTGTTCCTTTTGTCCAGGTGGGAAAGGGCAGTGTGGAGTGCAATAGAGATTGCGTCATCTGTGGATATTTTGGGGCGGTATTCAAATTGGAGTGGGTTCAGGGTGTCTGATGATGGTGTTGATGTGAGCCATGACCAGCCTTTCAAAGCATTTCATGGCTACAGATGTGAGTGCTATAGGGCGGTAGTTATTTAGACAGGTTACCTTGACATTCTTGAGCACAGGGACTATGGTGGTCTGCTTGAAACATGTAGGTATTACAGACTGGGTCAGGGAGAGGTTGAAAATATCAGTGAAGACACTTACCAGCTGGTCAACGCATGCTCTGAGTACGCATTACTGTAATACGCCAGGTGAATGTTAACCTGTTTAAAGGTCTTACTCACATCGGCTATGGAGAGCGTGATCACACAGTCGTCCGGAACAGCTGGTGCTCTCATGCATAGTTCAATGTTGCTAGCCTCGAAGTGCGCATAGAAGGTATTTATCTCGTTTGGTAGGCTTGTGTCACTGGGAAACTCGTGGCTGGTTTTCCCTTTGTAATCTGTGATAGCTTGCAAGCCCTGCCACATCCTACAAGCGTTAGAGCCGGTGTAGTAGGATTCGACATTGGTCCTGTATTGACGCTTTGCCTGTTTGATGGTTCATCGGAGGAATTTGATGTAGAGCATTTACTTTTACTCAAGTATAATTTAGGCCCTGCAATAGACTTGTGTCCTGTAGCTCAGTTGGTAGAGCATGGCGCTTGCAACGCCAGGGTTGTGGGTTCGTTTCCCACGGGGGCCAGTATGAAAATGTATGCACTCACTAACTGTAAGTTGCTCTGGATAAGAGCGTCTGCTAAATGACTAAAATCTAAATACAGGGGGTGTACTTGTACAGCAAGCTACTTCACGCTACAGAAACAGGAGATAGGCTCCTGCCCTATGGGCCGTTCTGTTTCGGACAAGGCTAGCTACTTACTTTACATTACTTTTGAATCAGGATCATCTGCAGCCAGGCAGCAGGGACACAATCTGGACATGATTATCTGTTCCAAGATATGAAATAGCCTGCTAGGATTTCCTAATCTCAGCACCCAGAACCAAATCTCACATGCATGCTGGGCAACATTAATTGTTAAGTCTGTCACAAGAGACTTGTAGGAAGATAATATTATAACATTATCCAAAGCGACTTACTGTCCTGTGTGCATTAATTTTACGTATAGGTGATCCTGGGAATCGAACCCACTAACTTGCCGCGCAATGCTCTACCAAATAACTTTCCACAGAGGCTGAGGAGGCCTTTCCATGCAGAATTGGAATCTAGGAGTGACTTTCTCTCTCTCTCTGTGTGTGTGTGTATGTACAGTGGGGGGAAAAAAGTATTTAGTCAGCCACCAATTGTGCAAGTTCTCCCATTTAAAAAGATGAGAGAGGCCTGTAATTTTCATCATAGGTACACGTCAACTATGACAGACAAAATGAGAAAAGAAAATCCAGAAAATCACATTGTAGGATTTTTAATGAATTTATTTGCAAATTATGGTGGAAAATAAGTATTTGGTCAATAACAAAAGTTTCTCAATACTTTGTTATATACCCTTTGTTGGCAATGACACAGGTCAAACGTTTTCTGTAAGTCTTCACAAGGTTTTCACACACTGTTGCTGGTATTTTGACCCATTCCTCCATGCAGATCTTCTCTTGAGCAGTGATGTTTTGGGTCTCTCGCTGGGCAACACGGACAATCAACTCCCTCCAAAGATTTTCTATGGGGTTGAGATCTGGAGACTGGCTAGGCCACTCCAGGACCTTGAAATGCTTCTTACAAAGCCACTCCTTCGTTGCCCGGGCGGTGTGTTTGGGATCATTGTCATGCTGAAAGACCCAGCCACGTTTCATCTTCAATGCCCTTGCTGATGGAAGGAGGTTTTCACTCAAAATCTCACGATACATGGCCCCATTCATTCTTTCCTTTACACGGATCAGTCGTCCTGGTCCCTTTGCAGAAAAACAGCCCCAAAGCATGATGTTTCCACCCCCATGCTTCACAGTAGGTATGGTGTTCTTTGGATGCAACTCAGCATTCTTTGTCCTCCAAACACGACGAGTTGAGTTTTTACCAAAAAGTTATATTTTGGTTTCTTCTGACCATATAACATTCTCCCAATCCTCTTCTGGATCATCCAAATGCACTCTAGCAAACTTCAGACGGGCCTGGACATGTACTGGCTTAAGCAGGGGAGCACGTCTTGCACTGCAGGATTTGAGTCCCTGGCGGCGTAGTGTGTTACTGATGGTAGGCTTTGTTACTTTGGTCCCAGCTCTCTGCAGGTCATTCACTAGGTCCCCCCGTGTGGTTCTGGGATTTTTGCTCACCGTTCTTGTGATCATTTTGACCCCACAGGGTGAGATCTTGCGTGGAGCCCCAGATCGAGGGAGATTATCAGTGGTCTTGTATGTCTTCCATTTCCTAATAATTGCTCCCACAGTTGATTTCTTCAAACCAAGCTGCTTACCTATTGCAGCCTGGTGCAGGTCTACAAAATTGTAGCCTGGTGCAGGTCTACAATTTTGTTTCTGGTGTCCTTTGACAGCTCTTTGGTCTTGGCCATAGTGGAGTTTGGAGTGTGACTGTTTGAGGTTGTGGAAAGGTGTCTTTTATACTGATAACAAGTTCAAACAGGTGCCATTAATACAGGTAACGAGTGGAGGACAGAGGAGCCTCTTAAAGAAGAAGTTACAGGTCTGTGAGAGCCAGAAATCTTGCTTGTTTGTAGGTGACCAAATACTTATTTTCCACCATAATTTGCAAATAAATTCATAAAAAATTCTACAATGTGATTTTCTGGAATTTTTTCCTCAATTTGTCTGTCATAGTTGATGTGTACCTATGATGAAAATTACAGGCCTCTCTCATCTTTCTAAGTGGGAGAACTTACACAATTGGTGGCTGACTAAATACTTTTTTCCCCCACTGTATGTGTGTGCATTTACGGGTGCATGTGTGTGTGTGTGTATGTGTGTACTCCAGCCCTCTCTGTGCTGTCAAGCCCTCTCCTCTCCTTTCTCTTCTCTCCTCCTCTCTGCTTGCGGCGCATTGGGATGCAAAGCGTTCTACGTCGAGGGCAAGCCAGGCTAAGAAAAGCGCTTTAATGTTGCAAAAACAAGCCCATCGGTGCATGCCCGTGAAAGGATCTGTGTGTCTGTTCTGACTTCAAAACTCCCCAGGCAGGCATCACTCTGCCATCCTCTTCTAACAGAACCTCCCAAGAGAACTACCACCACACTCATTTCTCCTTCTCTCTCCCCTCCCTCCTTGTCTCTCTTCCTCTTGTCGCTCTCTTTCTTTCTCTCTCTCTCTCTTCCTCTGCTCCCATGAGGCAGGTCCAAATTGCTTTGCCGGAACGACGATCATCCCAGCCGGTATTGAAGTGAAGGTGGACGACTGCACCATTTGCCGCTGTCACAATGGGGACTGGTGGAAGCCAGCACAGTGCCTGCGCCGGGAGTGCCTCAACGGCCAGACGTTGTCATAGCAACCCCAGCGGGGACGGTGTCGGTGATGTGCTGCCAGGGAGCGGTCCTGCCTGCTGCAAAGGCAAACAAACAAACAAACAAAACGCTCATCTTGTATGATTGATATGATGGACAGGACAGGAGCACAATTCCTTGGCAACATTGGCTAGGAGACTGCATAACTAGCTGAACTGAAAAGCTGTCATACACAGTACCTACACACTACCACAACTTTAACCACAGAGGAGCGGAGAGAGCAGGTGGAGGAACTTTTCTTGAGACTGTTTTTGTCTTCTGTTTTGACTGACTATTTTTATTTTCTGATAATTACTTATTGCTTATGCTGCTTATAAACACAATGTTTATATATTTAATGAAGTCATGTCCTCCTAACCATTAGCACTGTTAAACATGGTCAATAGTTTTCTGTCATCTGCTTGTGGTCACTCACTCACAGAAATGAGATCTAGAGGGTTGAACAGGACACAATGACCAGAGAACCAGTAAGCACCCACATCATGGCACTTTGAGCAAAATGGGTCGGGGTTTAAATGGAATAAGGGAGATGTCTTCACCACACCGCTTTGCTGTGGGAATTACAATGGTCACCTAAAGATATCACTCACAGCTGTTGGCTTCTCACTAATTGTACAATCTTTCTATGAGTCAATAGCAAGAGTTCACTCCTGATGTTGGGGTCACTGAAATGAATTATTGACATAGAATGTCAGCATTCTGATGTGCTGTTAGTTACCCTCATCTGGGCTAGCAAAAGATGCACGGCCACAAACAGATCCCCTCATTTACTGTTTTTACTACACAATATTCTTGATGAGACTGTCTTCGAGGTGCTCTTCTCTGCATGGAGAGATTGGAGGCCAGTTCTATCCAATATATATCCAACCGATACATTTGTAAGTGATAAGTTACCGGAAGAAGTAGAAAAAGGAACCAACTTTATTTATTTCTGTAGTTGAAATAACTACTTAAGTTAGAAGCCATGTAACCTATAACAGAGTGGGTAAAAAATACATATTATCCAGCAGTCATACACTACCGGGGCCATTCCTCTTGGCTTAATTGCTTTGTTGTTTTCCCCCATAGCCCAAACCAACAAAAATAGTCCTCAGAGTGAATAGCTTGAACTTGTTATCTAAGAAATTAGCGAACCAAGCAGCGGCCTGCTTTAATTTCCCTTAATCAAAGGGTATTCTGTGATAAATCATCTGGCCGGGCCTCTCTGTGCTCAGCTCTACGCCACCCGCCTGCCGTCTGCATGCAGCAGCCAAGCACCAGCAAGAACTCAGAGAGAGACAAAGGAGAAATCTGCATATGTCTTCTTGATGCTTCAAAGCAAACTTAGACACACACGTGAACACGTATGCATGTGCAAACACACAAGCGTGCCTGTGCACACACACTTGTACGCACACCCTTTCATCCTCTATAGGCCCATACCTACAGCTTGCACAGTAATTCATTTTCAGCATAATAAATGTTGATCCACTGCACCCCAAGAAGAAGCACTTAAGCCAACAAGGCTCTCACTGAGATACAAAGCTCCTCTCCTCCCCTCCCATCCTCCCGTCTATAGATGACACAACAGATTTTCAGTTTTCTAGCCTCCTCCATATATCTGCATAGCTCCGCTACAGCACCCCACGATATGGCCAGGGCTATAACTTAGCTTGAGTTAATGCATTGCTTTTCCTATAGATTCCTTCCTATAGGTTTCAGGGTCACACACTCCAACCAACCAACCCCTTCCTTTTCTTTTTGAGATGATAAATATTAGTCATTAATTCAAAGGCAAATTTCTCTCTAAGCCCATGCAATTCATCACTGATACTTTAGTTTTGTGTGTTTCAGTGAGAATCCTTTCCCGTTCACCTTTTAGAAGCTATTCCTTCTGTGTGATAGATTAACTACTTAATAACAGCTTCCAGCTTCTGGTAATTAGATGGAAATGAACCCAGGAGTGAGACCCCTGACTAAAGAGGTGGAAGAATAGAATATGACATAGTCTGTGTCCCAAATGGCACCCTATTCCTTATGTAGTGAGTGCACTACATTTGACCAGGGCCCATAGGGCTCTGGTCAAAAGTAGTACACTATATAGGGAGCAGGGTCCCATTTGGGACACAACCAAAATATGCATTACCTATGTCTGTCTGCAGCCACTGTCCTGTAGACTACCTCATTCTGTTCTACTCAGCTGCCTGTAGTTTTATCATTATTGTATGATGGGGAATTCAGAAGATGAACAAATGAGGGAAGGGGACTTCAAGCCTGGGTGCATCATCAAAGTTGCTCAGGTCATTTTTATCATGACCTTGTCTCGTGATGAATAAGTCATTCGTAATGAGAATAAATGCAATTTGTCAAGCCAGAATGCCTACACGTACAGTACCTAGAGAAGAGAGTAGAGTGTTACTTTATTAATCCCAACTTGGGAAGTTGTTTTATCACAGCATGCATCATCAATAACTCACAAGGACAGGACACGTAACGATGACAGACATATAATACAAAAACGACACCTGCACCTTAGTATACACATCACTCTACAGGTCCATACATTGTATGAGACTCCATGACACCTTTATCACTCATCTCTTTTAATTAGGTCGATCATAGTCCTGAGATCTGGGATTTTCTCTTTAGTGTGTTATAGATTTTTATGACTGGATATACATTATCCCTTGCTGGCATGGTGTGCTGAATAACCATGGAAAGAATTGAGAGAGAGACAGAAAGAGAGGTGGAGAGACAGAGGAGATACACAGAGAGAGAGAGAGAGAGAGAGAGAGAGAGAGAGAGAGAGAGAGAGAGAGAGAGAGATAGAGAGAGAGAGATAGAGAGAGAGATAGCATCATCTCTCTCTCTCTATCTAGCTCTCTCTCTCTCTCGCTCTCTCTCTCTCTCTCTCTCTCTCTCTCTCTCCTCTCTCCTCTCTCTCTCTCTCTCTCTCTCTCTCTCTCTCTCGTCTATCTCTCCCTATCAGTTCCAGATGAACAGCTCAGAAGCATGTCATATTGTAGTTGCTCTGGATAAAACCCGTACAGGAACCGTCCAAGGCCTACAGTTGCAAACCAACCAGCTGAGACCTCCTATGTATATCCATTATCTGCCTCTCTTCCGTATAACATTTTCATCATAGGTACACGTCAACTATGACAGACAAATTGAGAAAATAAAATCCAGTAAATCACATTGAAGGATTTTTTATGAATTTATGGTGGAAAATAAGTATTTGGTCACCTACAAACAAGCAAGATTTCTGGCTCTCACAGACCGGTAACTTCTTCTTTAAGAGGCTCCTCTGTCCTCCACTCGTTACCTGTATTAATGGCACCTGTTTGAACTTGTTATCAGTATAAAAGACACCTGTCCACAACATCAAACAGTCACACTCCAAACTCCACTATGGCCAAGACCAAATAGCTGTCAAAGGACACCAGAAACAAAATTGTAGACCTTCACCAGGCTGGGAAGACTGAATCTGCAATAGGTAAGCAGCTTGGTTTGAAGAAATCAACTGTGGGAGCAATTATTAGGAAATGGAAGACATACAAGACCACTGATAATCTCCCTCGATCTGGGGCTCCACGCAAGATCTCACCCCGTGGGGTCAAAAAGATCACAAGTGAGCGGTGAGCAAAAGTGAGCAAAAATCCCAGAACCACACGGGGGGACCTAGTGAATGACCTGCAGAGAGCTGGGACCAAAGTAACAAAGCCTACCATCAGTAACACACTACGCCGCCAGGGACTCAAATCCTGCAGTGCCAGATGTGTCCCCCTGCTTAAACCAGTACATGTCCAGGCCCGTCTGAAGTTTGCTAGAGTGCATTTGGATGATCCAGAAGAGGATTGGGAGAATGTCATATGGTCAGATGAAACCAAAATAGAACTTTTTGGTAAAAACTCAACTCGGCGTGTTTGGAGGACAAAGAATGCTGAGTTGCAACCAAAGAACGCCATACCTACTGTGAAGCATGGGGGTGGAAACATCATCCTTTGGGGCTGTTTTTCTGCAAAGGGACCAGGACGACTGATCCGTGTAAAGGAAAGAATGAATGGGGCCATGTATCGTGAGATTTTGAGTGAAAACCTCCTTCCATCAGCAAGGGCATTGAAGATTAAACGTGGCTGGGTCTTTCAGCATGACAATGATCCCAAACACACCGCCCGGGCAACGAAGGAGTGGCTTTGTAAGAAGCATTTCAAGGTCCTGGAGTGGCCTAGCCAGTCTCCAGATCTCAACCCCATAGAAAATCTATGGAGGGAGTTGAAAGTCCGTGTTGCCCAGCGACAGCCCCAAAACATCACTGCTCTAGAGGAGATCTGCATGGAGGAATGGGTCAAAATATCAGCAACAGTGTGTGAAAACCTTGTGAAGACTTACAGAAAACGTATGACCTGTGTCATTGCCAACAAAAGGTATATAACAAAGTATTGAGAAACTTTTGTTATTGACCAAATACTTATTTTCCACCATAATTTGCAAATAAATTCATTAAAAATCCTACAATGTGATTTTCTGGATTTTTTCCCCCTCATTTTGTCTGTCATGGTTGACGTGTACCTATGATGAAAATTACAGGCCTCTCTCATCTTTTTAAGTGGGAGAACTTGCACAATTGGTGGCTGACTAAATACTTTTTTTCCCCCACTGTATAATGTATAACAATGCATATACAGTATATAGCTCTGGGGATAGGGAAGGGGTCCTCCAGGGATTGTGTGGGTAGCAGTACAGCTGAACCTGCTCTGGATATGTGGTCAATCCCTCCCTCAGGAATCGCTAACTTCCTGCAGTTCTACACATTTTGTCATGGGGCAGAGGAAAATGTGCAGTTAAAGCTAACCTTTTCTACACATTTTGCCATGAGGCTGAGATAAAATGTTGCTGTTTTAAAGCTAATTAAAGCTCAAATATAGGTGTGCTGACTGTGATAAAGGAACTGGATTATGAGCTGTCTTGCTTGTTGAATCAACAAATGAAGTAGGCAGTGGCA